CCTGGAAGTGTAAAATTTCTAACCCCGCAATCCCTAAGTAACTTTACACAAGCCGGGGACAAAAGCCTTGCAGATCCCCAGCCGCAGCAGTAGCCGAGCAGAGCGGTGCAAGGGTCATTAGAGTGGTAATGAAGCCATTTAACAGGCATTTGCTAACGCGCAGGAATCCTTTGGTTTCATCCAGGTGGCTTTTGTAGCTGAGGAAAATATTACGAGAAGGCAAAGGAAACCTTCCCTACCTGGGAATAAAATTATATGACCTAGGTTAACTCAAACGGAGAGCAAGTGAACCAGCAGCGGTTCAAACACTACGGAGTCTGTCCGTGTGCCCAGGAAAAAGGTGTCTTCAGTTAGCCTCCCTTCAGGAAGAGGTAATGCGGTGGCATGGCGAGCCGGTTGTCTCAAGGAGCCGCTGATCAAGTGAGCAAGGCAGGTAGGGAGTATCTTCTGAGAGAGGTGCCCTGTAGCAGCGCACATCGCTGGAAAGCGATCCTCACGGGAGAGGCAGAGAGCAGCCAGCAGCTCGGTCGGGGCTGAGGCTGGAGGGACCCCATCTGCTCCTTTTTTCCCCTCCACCACCACCCCCGAATCCCCAAAGGCGGATTTCCACTCTAAGGCTAAAACTTTTCCTAAAAAACAACCATGCACACACCCTTCTTCCTTCGAGCAGACGCGTGATTATCTAAAGTCTGTGGAAGGCTACATCTGCACTACTTTGGTTTATTTGGGGCCATAAATAGGGGGAGCCCCCTTTGAAATGAATACTGTAGGAAAAGCAGAGAGTTGATAAAGGAGTAAAGTTACAGAAAGGGGAAAGCTCAGAATTTCAGGCTTCTGTAGCTCTGAGATGCAGGTTGCTGTTTTGTTGGGCTGCATCTGAAACAGGGCAGTTGTCTACTGTTTTGCTAAGACAGTGTCCGTCAGAAGGGGTTCTGCTCGGCAGTAACTTGAACTCTGCACTGGGATGTGGCGAGCACACACAGAGATACAGACACATATATGCAATTTGATTTAGAACGTTTGCGCTGGGTAAAATAGACCTGTTTACATATTCATGTTTCATGCACAAAAAACCTTGATCTTTAAAGTGCCGATTGCAGTTCCGATCACCTTTCTTGGTTGGTGCATGCTTGGTTTCTCTCCAAGCATGTACTGTGGATCTCCCGGTGCCCAACGCCAACCCCCTCAGCCCCGCTCTCCTGGCATGCAGAGCTTTAGCTCGTCGCTTTGACTCTTAGCTCAGCGGGGGCTGTTAAAAACCGTGCCTTTCCCAAAAAGTCTTTGAGGAGCCAGAAAAATTTCTTTCCTTTTTCCTTGAATGTTTTTGGGGAAAGGGAAGAAAGCATGGAAGAGTCTGTCATTCAGGAAGAAAAAAAAGTCTGTAAATAGTATTCTTTAAGGAGTCCCCGGCTCCTCTGGTAAAGTGATCTCGAAACAAACTTGCAAAAATGCAGTAGGCGAGTGGAACTAAAGCAAGGGGAGAGAAAACACGAACTACAAGGCTGGCTAATGAGGTTTCTGGGGAAGGGCGAGGTGGGGGGGCGGGGGAGGATACTGCTGCATTTCAGAAGGCTCAAGTCCGGAAAGCGGGAAGCAGCCTGAGAATGAGACACTGTCTGCTCCTGCGGACGGGTAGAGAGAAAACGGTGAATGTGTCAGGCTCTCTTTAAATGATGCTCCTCATCCCAGCCCCCCCCCCGCTCATCAGCAATCGCAGTGCCGCACCTACTTCTGGAGGGATTCCATCCCATGTAGGCACCGTTTGCAGACCGTGCCATGTTTTTCCAAGCCCCACACCTTTCTATTTAAGAAAATAAAATTCCACCGAAACCAGAAATCACCAGGTTGAGGGAGTGAGAGGTGTTTGGGGTCCACCCGAGCGCGCCCCCAACCCCAGCCCTTGGGAGCGCCTTGCGCGCTGCTCCGCCGGCCTCCGGCCTCGACGGAGCGCACAGCCGGGCCCCGGTGCAGCGCGGCGAGAGCGTCACTCAGGGATGAAACTTAATGCTGCCAAGCCGCTCCATTCCCGCTGTCGGTGGTTGCCGGCACCGGCGGTGAGGGCTACCCCGCGCTGCCCTGGCAGCAAAACTGTTTCCCAGTCGGGTTGGTGGGGCCGAGCGCTTCCAGCCGTGTGAGAAACGTTTGGTTCCCCCCAGCGCTGAGAACCGTGCGCACCTAAGTAAACACATTAGTACCTGCCAGAGGGATTTGTATAGAGGACAGCTGAAGAAGGCATTGGCCTCTGTTGGCTCCCTGGGACTCCCAGGAGAGATCAAAGGGACACGAGGGATATTTTAGCAGCCTTGAGACTGGGAAAAGTTGCTAGTTCCTGCTATAGGACGGACGTCCCAGCGAGCACATGGTTCAATTATTCGACCTCTTCCCTCCCCTGCCCCCCACACCCATTCCTAGCTCAAAACAGCAGCGATCCACGCAGGAATTTTCCCCCAGGAAATAGCTGCTGTGTCGCCGCCTGCCTCCCTTGACTTCGAGCTCAGAGAATAAGCTGAGCACGGTACTGGCTGTCCGTCTCCCTCCCTGGATTGTAGGCTATTTTACCAAGGAAAATAAAGATTAAAAAAAAAAAATTAGAAAAAAAAAGGGCTTTAAACACTCGGTCGCGTCACTTCAGAGGAAAGCAGTGACAACGCGGCGGCACTGCAGACAAACACCCCATCTTCTCCCCCCTCGCCTTCCCCCCATCGCTCCCCGGCCCCGCAGGCATCTCGAGCGGGCGGCGGAGCGTTGCCACGCCGGGCCAGGCACCCCTCCGCTCCTGAGGGAGCGAGCAGGTGGTTCCCGGGGGAGCGGAGCAGGTAGAGGCGAAGAGGCCTGTGTTGAGTATGGGCTTTCGAGCCCGCCTTAAATGAACTGCATCGGGGAGGAGACAGGGACGGGGCCACTTGCATTCCCTTAAAAACTTCGGTGACTTTGTCCGTGGCCGCTCCGGAAAAAGACTTGATTAAATCACAAATCTCTTGTCTTTACCCAGTTATTACCCTTTGATTTTGTGATTCCAGCGCCCTATTTGCTTTGGCTGGGGACTTGAGTAAAGATTATCGTTATTAATATCTAACACAAACATCTTAATTGCAAACACACTGACGACCTTCACTGGGAAGCCCGGCATGTCAGCCGCAGCCGTGGAGGTCACGGAGAGTCTCTCTGAGAGATATTTTCTTTATTTAATGAAAAAGACTGTTCTTTAGGCAAACTTACTCCAAACAATCGCTCAGGTTACCATGCTGCTGGAGAAGACGCTGTAGTGGGGGTCCTACCGGGCAGAACTGGTTGTTCGTAGAAGTCAGTGCTGAGCTGAGGGTTAATCTGACATTCGGCTGCCCAGATGTCGGTGCGACACACTGGCTTTGGGGAGTGGCTCAGCACCGCTCCTACCCTGCTGCGGGCAGCGGGTCCCGCGGGTCTCGGATCAGCGTGTGAACTGTGTGTAGCTGTTCCCGCGCACCTGGAGGGATCAAAACAAATTAGGAAGGAAGGCGACGAGCTGCTAGCCCGATCTGAAATACTCTGTGGCTGGTCAAGTGCCTTCGCTACAGAAGCGAGATGAACCACCTCCCCTCTCTCGCCAGGTCGCGGAGACGGCACGCAGGGGACCTCGCTCCCCGACGCGCAGCTTTCTGAAGAGTTCGAGAGTTCCCCGCGTCAAAGGGGTTTAATTTGAAAGGAGAAAAAGGGTGCAACCGTCGCATCACTGTGCCCACCACACTGTCCCGCCGCAATTATTCTTTACAACGGAGCATCTTATTATAGAGCAATTAAGAGCTAGCACTTGACTGGTTTAAAAGTCAGACTAGCCACGGCGGCACAGAAAAGGCGGTAGGAAGGCACGGTGATGGGAGAGATGGCTCTCAGGGAAGGCTCTGCCCAGAGCTTCCACTTCAGACGGGTGTACCCGTGCCCGAGCCGGCCGGGAAGGGGGAGACTTTCCCGAAAAGCTACTGTGACCTTTCAAAAAACAAGAACAAAAAATAAATCAATGGCTAAAGCTGACGAGGAGAGCGCCGCTGGGTGAAGTCGAAGTGTCGTCCTTTTGCTTGCCCAGGCTCTCCGGCGAGCCCTGTGTCTGTGTGCTTACGGCAGAATGTGCTGTTCCTGGTGGCCACCTCTTCCCGGGGGTATAATCTGTTACAAACCGTAACGCTCTGACTGTGAGCAGCTCGGCTCCACCATCCTCAGGCTGTGTTTTTTCACATCACTGACTGAAAGGCTTCATATGTTGTTACCCTCCCACCTCCAAACCTTTTCGGCCCTTTAACTCCTTCCTTGCCGGGGGACCCCATTCCCTTCTCCCTCAGGCACAAGGAAGTCAAGGGGAGTTACTTTTCCTGGGAAGAAACCACAGCTATCCCCAGACCCCAAGAGAGCGGACTCCTGCCACAGCCTATCGCTGCCCCGTTAGGGCAGCAGTACCATCATTTTTGCCGCAGACAAGGCCTGCATTCAAGTCCTCGGTGCCGAAAGGAAGAGGTGGGACGCGCTGAGCCTCTTCCAGCTCAAGGACCGGGGGGGAGGTGGAGGGGCGGGGGTGTCTTTTCGCGTGTCCCGTTTCTAAGCTCACCCTCCTGCAGAGCAAGGCCGAAGAAGTGTCCCTGCCTGGCAAGGTACTCGAGCGGCCCTGTTGGACATTTTAGGGGAGCAGTATCGCTTTCCAGGGGGACGTGCGTTGCGCAAGCACCCAAGGAGTCGGGCCGCGGAGCGCTGCGGGAGCCGGAGAGGCGGCGGGCCTGCCCGTGCTTCCCTGGGAGCCCACGGGGAGGGTTAGGCGGGTAATTCACATCGCAGGAGCGGCCCTAAATAAGGAGAGACGGTCCTTCGAGGAGTAAACGAAGGAAAAATCTATGCCGAGTCCTGCTTCCAGTCACACGGGTCGTGCTTCGGCTACACAAGTCTGACTCATCTGGGCTTCATCTCGCTGAAGTCGATGGCAGGTTTTAACTCCAGTATCGGGTTATTATGAAATTACGAGGAGGGGAGGAAAACACTGTAACACAAAGAGCTTTATTTTACAATCCAAGAAATCCATCTGTTCTTATATACAATATCACATTCCACCATTTAAATATATATGTTATGTTTACAAAAGAAAAGACAGTACTGAAATTATTTACAGGAACGAAACGAGGCGGGAACTCTTTAAATATGACTCACACAAAATGCAACCAACAGCTTCACTCAGACAGGAATGAACTTCCCGGTGAGTCTCGGACAAAGAGGATCACCGGTACACAGGTAAATATCTTAAATTAGAAAAAAAAAAGAAAGAAAAAAGAGGGGTGGTCTATGCAACACAATTTAAAGAAAACAAAACTCGTGGGGAAAAAAGAAGAACACAAAAGAGGGAAAGTCTATCTGGCTCGAGTCAGTGAGAGCCATGTTTTTGGGGGTAGGTGTACCTTGAATCAACCTTAACAAGGCCCCTGCTTGGGTTTTCCACTGTGTTAATTTGCTTCATTACTTGTTTAGAGGAAAGAGGATAGGGGCTCCATCTCGTTAAACATACTACCACAGAACCGGGTTTATTTCTCCACCGCTTCCTCCGCACTGGACGGTTTGGGCTCGTCGGAAGAAATACTGTCCACTATCGAAGAGAGGCAGCGAAGGCTGCTGGAGGCCGACGACTCGACAACGGAGACTCCTGCTCAACGAGAGAAAAGGGATTAAAGAGCAAACCGTTCCTCCTCCCGGGCCTGCGGCGCGGGGGCTCCAGGATGCCGGAGAGCCCGGGCAAAGGAGGGAAGGGCGAGAGACGGACCGCCGGGGCCTCAGCCGTCGGGGCGAGGGAAGGGCGCTCGGCCCCGGGGGCGGCGGGCGAGCAGGGCCGGCGGAGCGGGGTCCGGCCTCGGGACGAGTTACCTTCTTTGGGGCTGATTCCTAGGGCTCGGGAATGGTCAGAAACGGTTTGCCAGTCCGAGCTGCAGGTGCTCAGGAAGTCCGAACTGGCGATCTGCGGCACACAGGCGGGGGCGGGAACGGGGAGACACGGGGAGAGGACGAGTGTTAGTGAGGTGACCCGCGGCTCCCCGGGCCGGGCCGAGCCTGGCCGGCTGACTTCCGGAGGCCCGAGGACTCGCAGGTTCCCCGAGGAGGAGGAGGAGGGAGGGACCAAGAGGCAGTGCTTACATTTCCCTGCTTGGGGCTGAAGCTGAAGGGGTCCCCCGCGATCTCCTGCATTTTCTCCTGCTGATCCAGCCTGTGCAAGAGGTCCTGCAGCCTCTCGATGTAGCTGATGGCGCTCCTGAGTATCTCTACCTTGGGCAGCCTCTGGTTGGGGTTCGCCACAGTCCTCCTTTTCAGAGCCTCGAAGGCTTCGTTGATCTTCTTCAACCTCCTCCTCTCCCGGAGGGTGGCTGCTTTCCGTCTGTCCGTGGGGGCCGACTTTCTCTTGCAAGTTTTACAAGCCCAGATCAAACACTGTCCGGGGAAGTGAGGGGGTTGTAGTCCCGGGGGTGCCAGCACATGCTCCTCTCCGCTGCTGTCACTGCCGGCCTCTGGCTGCATTTGGTCCTGACATGGGGACAAGGTGCCATCGCTGCCTGGGTACAGCGGGGATCCCTCAGCCATCTCCAGCTGCTGCAGGGCTCCATTCTCCCCGTCCAAGTAGAAGAAATAGGAGCCAGTTTCAAAAAGGTCCATCATGCTGTCCCCCGGCTTCTCTGCCTGCTTGAGTTGGGTGGCAGGCTCAAAAACACCCCGAGGAACAACCCAGATGGAATTTAATTAGTGCAGTGACATAAGTCCCCTGTGCTTTATATAGGAGCTGCTGAAATCCTATCCAGCTTTTAGCTGTCGCGGTGTATCACCCTCCAAAACTGATTCCAGCCAGTCTTGCGGGCGCTGTCCTGAGAACATCTCCTGTTTAGAAGGGGGAGGGGGGACACTAGGGGAGGGGGGCAAGTTTAGGAAAAAAAAAAGGCGAAAACAAGCAAAAAAAACCCTCAAACCCCACATCCCAACTTCCCACCCGCTCCCTAAATGTCGTGGGTTCCGGGCGCAGGGAAAGTGGGGATCGGGAGCGGCGTCCCGGCGCGGCCCCGCTGCCGAGCCCGCGGGGGCACCGCTGGAGGACAAAGGCGCGGGGCTGCGCAGGGAGCCCTCCCCCAGCCCACCCCTCACACCCTCATACTCCCTGCCCCAGTGCTAAGTATAGATCTATAAGGAGACATTTCAAAGGCAGCCATCACTTTCCAAATAGATAGGTTAATATTTTCAGAAGAAACCCCTGCTATTTCCCCCGCCGCCCCCCACCTTCCCCTTGAAGCATGCCATTCCTGTGACCCAAGCCACCAGGGCCAGCCCAAGGTTAGGAGCCAAGCTCGCTGTCCCTCCACACGTATAGGGAGGATTGCCAAGGTAGAGCCTTACTGCGATGATGAGGCACCCACAGACATTGCACCTCGGCTTAACCTTTCAGTCTGAACTTTCCCACGTTGCCCATGAGGTGACAGGAGTGATTCCAGGTGACTGGGTTACAGTGTGATGGGGCTCTCCGGACAGTCCTTGTCCTTGACAGTGTTTAGGGCAGGCAAAGCCCAGGCATACGGTGTAACTGAAGTTTGATCCCTTGGGCCTGGCAGAGTGTACAGAGCTTCCTGGTCACTGAGACAGAAATGGAGCTTCTGATCGCTCTCTGTTAGTGTATGCTGTGATGTCACATCATGTCTGGGCCTATCTTACTTGAAGAAAGAGCAGGAACAGGAAAATGGCTTGTTTGCCTCTTTCACTGGACTGCCTTGTGTTTGTTAAATCCCATGTAATTTCTTTATACCTATGTAAATATACATATATGTGTATATGCATATGTGTCCATATCTATACACAGAAACATATTTATGTATGTTAATGTGGATATGTAAATGTATTTCTATGTTTGTACATATCTGTGTATACACACACATACACTTTTTCATAGAAAGTCACAATAAGACATGAAGAGTGGATGAAGCATTTGGAATGCTCTCATAGCTCTCAAGTGTAGCACTTAACTTCATTCTTTGTGAAGGGAAGTGTGACGTACTTGTTAATTTCTCCAAAGCTACAATGAAATTAATTGACTTGACCGTTTCTGCAAAACTGCAAACCAATTTCTTGGCGTACAAAAATCTTAACGACTAAGAGTAGTTCCGGTTTTGTTTTGACTACATCTGTGTTGTTGGAATGGATCTCATTTCTGCTTTAATGAGGCAGAACAATATACAGTTTTGGATGAGACAAAGAAATTCAGATGGTTGTCAGTGAAACTGATTTTGATACTATTCTACCACTGAGAGCTTTTTCCCTCTTCAAATTAGAAAAAGGGCAGTCTTACCATCAGACAGTTTCTCAGTTTCCATGCTCTGCAACTTGCTTTCTGTTTGACCTTTGACCAGTCACGTAATTTCCCTGTGATTTAATTTTCTACCTTTAAAAATGGATATCATGTTGACCTTTACCCATCCCTTGTGTCTCTCATTTAATTTGCTAGCTATCCAGGGAGAAGATACCCCTTGGTGTTACATGCTTTGGAGTCCCACAGGGATGTTTCTCCCATACCATTAGTAATGGTAGAGAAAAGGAAAAAAAAAAAGGAAAGAAGAAATAAGGAAAAAAACCGAAGTGTGAAGATTATTTCGATATTTTAATGTTTTGTTTTTTCCCTACTACTCTGGGAATGTTTGGAAGAAGACAGAGACAAAATCAGTCTACTGATAAGGCACACAAATGAAAACTTAGTTTAAGGGAGAAGGATAATTACCAAACTGTTGTTGTCCTTTCAGGAGTTTTAAGTGTATTTAGTGAGCTGGGAAACTGGAAGCTTAGGATCCAGATGCTCCTGCTGCTGTCAACAGATTTTTTATATTTTTTTTGACAGGAAACAAAATAAATTCTTTCTTTCCAGCACTTTTAGTGATAGAGTAAACAGATTTGGTTCCTTGCAGGGACGTGTACACAGCATAATTAGCCCTTTATTGAGCAAAACTCCTATCAAGTCTAAACAAATTTTAAATTGAATGAAGTAGACCAGTTTCCCCATGATATAAGTAACTTGAATTTTGCTGTAGCCATCACACTTCATCTCCCATTCCGGCTCCTTGGTGAATATAACACAGTTAGCAAACAGCCCTAGCATATATGAGCAAAATGTTCTCAGAACAAAAACCAGATCAAGTAGAAGATTCAAAAGTTGGTACTGGCCTTTTTTCTCTTGGTGTCTTGCATTCCAGATCATGTAAGATATAAGCACAAACACATAAGAGGAAGTAAATGCATGTGAATAAGAAGAACTGGACATAGAATTGGAAGGAGGATCACTGCGGAAGTCTGCTTGATAGAACCTCACAGAAAAACTCACTCTCACTCTGAAGCCAGTTCTTTATTTAATTGTTAGTGCTTCCAACAGAATACTGTGGTACTCTACTGAAAATGTACTTTCAGCATATTTACACAAGTAAAACATGTGATGTACTTTATTTGGTCTACAAGGTCTATTATCCTTACCAATGAAGTATTTCAGAAAGTCGGTGAGTTGTAAATTCAGTAAGTGGTCAGGATGACTCAAATCCAAGAAAAATGCACTGTATTTTAAGCCACAGCTGATCTCCAGATCCCCCAAATTCGCTTTTTCACATGCATTTTTCTGGATAACTGTGGTTGAATATTAATCTTGGAACTGCTTATGTCACTCTTAACACCTTAAGGTTTAAGCAGAAATTTGGTCCAAAACTTTAGAGAAATATTTTGTCATCTAGGACCCACTTAGCACTGCATGCCACTCCAAATACCTCCTTTTTCTCCTTCACTCTTCTCAAGATTCTTCCAGCCACAAGCACTGTGCATTTTAAATCTTGGCTCTCTGACACTTCTTTTCAGTGGCTTTGGTACTCAGTGGGGATACATCATATTCACTCCAGTGTGTCACTGTGAAAGGGCACCTGGGTGAAGGTGAAATTTTCAGCCTGTCTTTTTCATAGCCCTATTCTACTCATACAATACCTGATTTGAGAGATGGTTGCATACTTTAGCTATTAGGGTAATGATACTTATGTTGCTTCTTGCAGATTTATAAAGGGCAAGTTGCCAGCACACTGGGGTTCTCAGAGTTTGTCTGTACTTTGGATACAGAAATATTTGTTCACATTTTCACTCTCTTTTTCTTCCTTTTCAACAGCATCTTTTGTAGCAGAAATTTTCAACATACTTTATTGTTAATACAGTGTTGTTCTGCCTTTATGTATGTTTTTTTAAACAGTTTCTGTTCTTCAAAACTTGTCTTTTACCAGGCTTCTGATTCTTCCTACATTTGTCTTGATATCTTCTACTGATTGCTATTTCTAACATGACATTTCCCTGTCTCTGCTGAACAATATAATGTTCCATCAATTGCTTTTTTCATCAAATTTCTCAACAGAAATAAAATATGCTCTCCTCATTACAGTCTCAAGACAACCACTTAGAGTATTTCTTTGCTACAGAAAACATTTACGCTCTTACTCTTCTTGTGTTCGCTGTTTTCACAGACCTTCTGACCTGAGTTTGGTGGGGTGTTCAGGTGAGGGTAGGTGGCACGTACAGAAATATGGGTCAGTCCATGTTTTGTTGTCACTTGCAGTCTGTGGGGTAACATACTTAGGACATCAGTCTAAGCTATTAGAGGATTAATTGTCTGTCGTTCCTCAAGGTGTGTCAGTATGTGCACTCAAATACTCACTCAGCATGTATTTACATTCTCATTTTAATTTGTCAGGAATGCACTTGTGGAGCAAATCTCTGATTAGCCTCCACTTACTGCACTTTCGATACTTCTTACGGGGTGCTCTCAAGAGCGTGTCATCTGGACTCCGTTCAGGAGAAGCTAAGCTGGAAGGCACCTTTAAACATGAAGGGGTTTCTAGGTCCTCATCACTGCCAGCTTCCACAGATCTGCACCCGGCTCACCTGTATTATCTGCTCATATTCATAGTCACTGTTCTTCGGGAAGAACTAGAGAAATACGATTTGCTGCTGAGATAGTGTATTATGCCAAGGATTGAAAACGGCAAGAAACTTCATCTCTCCTTTACCTTCAGAAGAATATTTTAAGCAGATGGGAAGGATTGAGATTAAAGATGTTTTCAATGGCTGAGAGATGTGTAATGGGAGAGTTGGTGCACAAAAGATAGGTAGTCTGTTAGAGAGAACATATCTATTCCTCAATCTACAACATATTACAGAAATGTTTGGAGAACTGAGATTAGAGGTTTTCCATGAGTTTTCTGGAAAGTCTGGACAGTGTAGGCTCTGTGAGGGATCAGAACTTCATAAAGTGACGGTAACCTATGGGAAATTTAAGCAAAAGAACATTTCTGACATTGATGGAAGCGTAATTCCAGCTACTGGAACAGAGCATATGAAACTTCCTGGCTTGTGGTACGTAGTAGAACTTCTTAGCTGAATTTCTTTATCTCTTCGTGCCTTAAAATGTCTGAATTTCACAGAGGTCTGCAGGGATAGATAACACAGACCAGTTTTAATTCTTGATTTTAATTTATGTATGTTGTTAGACTATCAGCTGACTTTTACATACATAGAATCTGTTGTTTACTTAAGCATATTCAAATTCTGCTTGTCCAAGGAAATTATATTATTTGCGTATCCATATTGGCATAGGCACTCTCACTGGAGATTTAGGAACTGACTAGAGAAAGTGTGTGTGTACTGTGCATGCCAGTGCTTGTGTATAAGTATGT